AGTCCTGGGGGGGCAGCCAGCCTTCTGCCCTGCAGGGGTGGGGGAGGCAAGGTGGAGAGCTGCCCTTTCTCTCCCCTCTACCTTGTTATCCTCCTGCTGCTCGCATCGCTAACACCGTCCATTTTATTCAGACGTGCTTTTTCTTAAAGCTTTTTCTTGTGTTGTGGTTTTTTAAGCTCTTTGTGTTGACCTGCCCTCCTCCTCTCTCGTCTTTGCCCCCTACGGTGATGCTTTTAAACTGATAAAGCTGGAGATGAACAGTAACTGAAGTTTTCTAAGATACATCAGTCTGAAATGTAGGAGATGCCACTTTAATCTTTCATGTACCTGAAATTATTAAAATGTTAGGGTAAAGTGATTTCTGGAACTGAGTGAAGAGTGATGGAAAAGTACTGCTCCCAGTGTACAGAAGAGTAAAAACTGTACAAATTAGTTCCTGTTGTAGTAATTGTGTACTTTTTTCCTTCTGAAGATGACTTTTCTCTAGTAATTTAAAGCCCTTGATAATACTTGTTATAATACTGTTCTGTTTGCACAAGGAACATGTGGGGGAAAATCCAACTTTTAAGAGATCACAGACTGACAGATATTAAGGTTTTTGTTCTTCCAAGTTGATATTTGAATTGGGTGACAAGGAAGATGGTAGAGGATACATGTACTTTGAATTCAGGACTCAAAGTTTTGGGAAAATTAGGCTGTTTATGCACGCATCTCTTTGTGCTCAACATAGTATGAAATTGGTGGGACCCACTCCATATTCTTGTAATCCCTAAACACCAAATTAATAAAAGTAGTCCTTGAATTTAGCTTTCATGAAGAATATTTAAATTAGCAGTGGTGTTGTTCTCTAAGAGTATTAGAGAAACTGGGTTTGTAGGAGAAGCTCATGTGTTTTCAAAAAAGTATATGTAATTTCTGATTCTTCATAAAAGACGTATCAAAGCTTATTTTGTTAAGTCCTTCAAGCTTTGGAATTCCTAGCTATGTGGCTGGACCAAAATTTGCTTTCCATTATGTGGAAGGAAAAAAGTAACCTGCCCAGCCTGTGGTACTTCAGTACTCTTTAGCTCTCAAGTCCAGTTGTGCTATGACTGTGTACTTGAACAAGATACTGATGTGTATCATTTGTCACTCCCTGTCCATGTTTCCATCTGAAAGGAAAGGTTTCCTGAAAAGAGGTTGTAGCGAGGTGGGTATTGGTCTCTTTTCCAAGTAGCAAGTGATAGGAAACAGCCTGAAGTTGTGCCAGGGGAGCTTTAGATTCGATTAGGAAAAATTTCTTCACAGAATGGGTTGCCAAGCAGTGGAACAGGCTGCCCAGGGAAGTGGTGGAGTCACCATCCCTGGAGGCATTGAAAAGACGTGTAGATGTGGTGCTTAGGGACGTGGTTTAGTGGTGGGCTTGGCCGTGCTAGGTTAACGGTTGGACAGTTAAAGGTCTTTTCTAACTTAAATAAGTCTATGATTCTACCTGAAGTAAACAGGGCATGGAGCAGAAAGTGTACAACATGTTCAGTATTTTGGATGCGTGGGTAGCATGACTGGGATCGACCACCTGTGGTGGGGTCAAAGACACTTAAATGAGTTCTGTCTTTCACTGTAACTAACCATGTCCTTATTTCTGTGTCTTTCAGTTCTGACATTAAATATATTTTACTTTTTGATAGATTGGGTTGATGTTGCCAACGATCTTTTAAGGAGCTGTCACATAAACCAGCACATAAAACATCTCTCAGAATGTGGTGCTGATGTGTTTGTTCGTATTTATGAGTCAATCATAGGAGAAAAAGTACCAGGTGGGAACGATAATTTCTAGACCTGCTTTTTTTGTGTGTCTGTATGTTTTGTAATGAACAAATTCAAGTTTGCGAAACTTTCTACACATGTAGGGTTTTTAAGGTATTTGTGTCCTTCCAAAGACAAACATGTAAGATTGTCACTCTAAGAGGATTTAAGTAATATTGGCCAATTTCTTTTGTTGTTTTTTTTTGACTGGTATGAATGGCAGCTATGAAGGGAGTTCACTAGTATAGCCACAGCAAAAGTTTTTTCTATTGTAAATTAGGCCTTGAAAGCTGTACATAGGCACCATACCTTTGAAGGGTGTGAATTGGCTCATTTCTCTTAAAGAAGTGTTAATACTGAAGCCTGTTCTCATAAAATGCTTAATACTTATAGTCTGCTAAAAGCTAAGCTGTGATTTAACTCTGGTTTAACCCAACTCCATTTGACTTCAGTGACAACAACTGAAAAAGGGCTATACAACTATGTCTTTGTTTGCTTTATGGTAAACTATTGTGTTTGGAAAGGGTCAGGACTCCTGCTTGCAGAAGATTTTAATTAGCACTGAGGTAACTGGCAGCTAATGGAGGTTGAAGTCCTGTTAAATGTAAGCCCAGAACTAAAAATAATGTTGCTCCCAATTAAGTAGAACACATTGCAGTCCAACTAGTTTCTGACAGGGGAAGAAGAGACCTTAACACAAACTGTAATTTCAATTTGATGATCTGAACTAGATGTGTGTGCTGGGAGTGAAGGATAGAAAATGCTTTAGTAGTCTCTATTCTTGAATTTAATACTTCATTTGATAAAATCCTAACATCTTCCAGGGGATGTTCTAAGTTTATACTCAGTATTTGTAAAATATTTCATATGACCGTATGATATTTGGGCTTTTTACCGAGTATACAAGGTATTGGAAAAAAATACTAACTTATAAGTGAAAGTTAAAGTAGTTTAGTTAAAACATCTGCAATAAGCTATCCATTTAGCCTGAAAACTATTATTTATTTTAAATAGATTTCATAGCTATTCCTAGAAGCCAAGAGGATGATGCACATAATGTACAAGCAGTAATAGATTCCCTGGCATTGGACTATTTGCAGGTCAGCTTGTCGCACATCACTGGTAAGTGCTCATTTTAACTTAGACAAACACCAGATGAATATCTGTGAGGTTTAATTTGAACACTTTATAAGAACCATATGTTGTAAAGCATAGTTTCATACTTACATGACAGGTCTTTTTCCTGTAGTGAATGTCATCAAAACACTGAACCCTTGCCTGGGACATCAGGTTATAAATTTAAACAATGAGCAGAGAATAAATAAGAGCTATCTTGTATGACACGGACCTGTAAGAAATGTTAAAGTTGACAATTAATCATACTTCACTTGTCTGCTAAGGTGTTACCTGAAGTCTGTTACTGGCTCAGTATTCTTCTGTACACAGGTAAAGCTTGGAGACTGGGTTTTAAAACGTGAGCCTTGAATTTTGAGCTTGTTACTGAATTTTAAAAAGATAGTGAGTAAAGACTTGAACCTTGTTGTGTCTGTCGTTTGTACATAGATAATAGCTTTCTCTGAGTATTCATATGTATAGTCTCATGTAACATAGCCTGCAAAGAATGAGACCTACTTGCTTGATATGAAGTATCTCTTTCTAATTTGGTACCAGTATGGCTGGTATTTGTAGTCTTACCTGCCAGTCCATAAACTTGGCTTTGCTGTAGCTAGTTATGTATAAGAAAATATTAAATACCAACTATCGATCCCTACAAACATCCCTGATTTTTTTTTTGTGGAAGCAGGTATAACATCAAACTTTCACTTAGTAGAACTGAAAATAGGCAACTTTAGGAAACTTAACGTACCTTAAGCTTACATAAGTAGCCATAAATGAGTGGCCTCTTGTCTTCTGAGCTGACACCTTCACAAGCACTCTTCTCCAGAAAACTCCTGCTTTTGAGAATTTTTCTTCTGTGAAGTCATAATTATTAATATGTGGCAGTACCTTCTTTTAAGGTGAAAATATTGTGAAAGGAGAAAGGGAATCTATCAGAAACCTCATCGAAATATTTGATGGTTTGTTAGAGTATCTTACAGAAGAAGTCAGTGAATCTGCTTCTCAGAATGGAGGTGAGTAGACAAATGGCCTAGTTTAGGGTATTATGTTCTGCTTCTGCTATATTATGGACAGCTTGCTTTTTCTGTTTGTCTGCTATCAAGTTAGCTTGCTGGGAGCTTGGGTTCTCATGACCATAGTTCTTGGTGTTCATGGGTGCAATATAGCTCCCACAATAGGTAAAAACTGTTTCTTTGCTGTTCTCCTCACTAGCAGCTATACGGAATGATACCCATTGGAAGACGTAAGCTTTGTGAAACTTTGTTTTGGGATACCCAAGGTCTTTCCAATGTAGCAAAGGTGGTTTTGTCTTATTTATAACCTTGAAAATGCAGCAGAGGAGAAAGACTGAAATTGGGCGGGAGGAAATTTCAGTGGCCAAACGGAGTATTTACATTCCTTATTTTTGTAAACATAATGATAAAATAATTTATTTTCCCCAAACTTGTTAAAAGGTGAGAATTGGAGAACATAATCTTTCTGCTTCATTCTTGTGCCAGAAACCTACACCAGACAATTCATCCTCTGTTAGTATGTTGCTTTTCAACTTGTAAGTCAAAAGATTTATGGTTAGGATTCAGGGAGGGAAATGTTGACTTTAATGGGAATATTCAAATAGCAATTTTCAGTGCCTGTACTTCTGCTTTTCCTCTCTCTCAGACTGCCAGTGCTGCTACCCAGTAGGTGTTAGTGGTTCCAATTTTCTAGTTATAAGTACAGGATTCAATTCTTTTGAGGAAGAAAAAAGGGGTTTTTAATAATTGAAACGATGGGATATATGATAGTTGTATCACTTTTCAAAACTTACCGTAGAAGTTGCCCCTCCCCCCCCAAGGGGGGGGGGCATTACATGTTATCATTTTAGATATCGTCATTATAATGTCTTATTACACTTAGACTATTTTGATGATACTGGCAATAATACCTGTTAATAGGTAGAAGTAGTTTTCCTGAAAATAATTGCCTCTTGATTAACAGATGAGGCAAATGTGGTATCCAACACCGAAATTCAAATTGAATCTCAAGAGCAGATGGAAAGCAATGCTGGTCAACTTGCGCAACCTTCAATATTCTCATCAGTTGAAGGGTAAGAACAATTCTGAATATTTGCATTGACATGGTGATTGACTATCTTTCTGTGTATCTGTAGAGAAACCAGTAGGTTTTTAACAGTACGCAAGTAGGAAACATACTGATTATGTATGTCAAATGGAATGTGAGGTAACTTTCGCCTTTAGTTGGGCAGCAAGAGTGCTAAAATGAGATCCAGAACCTTTTTGCTCTTGAAGAGTGATGGCATTTTGTTTTCCTTTAAGTTTGCTTTATGAAGCAAGTTGAAACCTTTGTCTCAGGTTTAATGACAAGATTTTAGTTAAACTGCATTCGATTTATCTTTGAGTTCTGCACTGGTTTGTTAAGTAGAAGCTGGTCTCTTCAGCCCGACGCTGTAATGGCCAGGAACCTGAAGTAAAGCTGCCATGCTTCTGCAGCTCCATCTTGTGGGCTGAAGGGGCAAAGACTTTCAGAGTAAATATGTTAATGGCTTTCTGTTCCTTTTAGGTCCCAGTCAGAATTTTTTGTTCCATCTTCTGATGTAGATGGATCAGAATCTACCAGTGAATTAATTAGACTTGGAGATACTGCTCATTCATTTTCCAAGAGAGGTGAGTGAAAAAAATTTTAAGTCTACTCTGTAGTAACATTTCTTGTTGTTTCTTTAAGGTTCCTGCTTTCAGACAAATACTTTGTTTTAAACTCTTATTTTAAAAAAACCCCCCACGTGCCCAAAAAACCCAACCTGCAATAAGCAAACGTACCTGTAGTTGATCTTGCTGAAGTTAAATTTTCTTAAAGAATTCCAGACACTGTTTTTCATGGCTCCTGAGCTACATTATTTGGTTAAAGGTTTGTTGTTTGACTTCTAATCGGTTCTCCCTACAAAGGCATTTTATTTTGTTCAGTAGAATAAGAAAATTCTGAAGCCTTTAATTCATTTCATTTGTTGCACTGTAAAATGTATTATTTAAGACTGTAAGAAGACTAGTAAGTTCATTCTTAAAGATGACTTGTTAGGAATGTGTGCCACTTAGAAACATTATGGGTGGCTCTGGAAAAAATAATGTGCAGATTACTTAAATGGAGTCCATTCCTATTTCCTATAAGAATATTCCTATTCTTATTGGTGATTAAACTCTCCAAGTAGAGGCATAAAGAAATATTATTAATTATGAATTTTGCTATTGAATAGAATTAAAAGTAAGAATTCAACAGACATATTTTGGTATTATTAACACACTAAACATAATTGTCCATCTAACAGTTCATAGCGAGATGCTTTATAGTTCTTAATTTAATCTTTTTTTTCAAACACTACTTCTAGAATTCCAGTTGTCTGAATTGTTACCAGCAGAAAAGGGCAAGGGAGTGGAAGAATCTAAAAACCCAGAGGCTATTGCAACATTACCTAGACAGTTCTCTGAAACTGAAAGGGCCATTATAAACAAAAAAGAGGGTGGTATGTATTCATTCTTCTGATAGCTGATTTACCTGATTTTGACTAAGAGGTGTAGGGTACTAACATAGTGTAGAGGAGAACCTTAGTCATGGATGGAAAGACTTCAGCTATGTTTTGAAATAAATCCTTTTCAGAAATTTTGTATTTTAGTGTCCCAGAGTATGCAAACTCCATTATCTGGGGTACTTCTGCTTTGCTAGGATTCAGCTTCGGCTAGGTTTTTTTCCTTTTGTGGTTTAATAAGCAAAATACTAAAAGTAAAAAAAGTCCTTGTGGAAGATCCTAGCATCCAAAATCATGTGGTCAAGGGGCCTTTCATGCTGTTCTTAAGGACAGTTATGGATAGATTGTATATTGGGTGAATCCTTCTGACAGGTGGCAGCCATCTTCTCCAATTGGCCCTGGCCTCTGCTGACTGTCACTGCTTAGAATTCCTGCACGTGAGCAGGTGTTCCCCAGTGTGTATCTAAAATGACTGTGGGGAAAATAACAGCAAATTGAAATCTGCTTACTGTGTATGCACATAGCTACATCATATACAGTAGTATAGTCATATACATACACATATACAGTCATGAAAAACTTGATGCATGAAAAGTAGACAGGGATGGGCTGCAGTATGTATCTCTGTAAACAGAAGAAAAGTAGCATCGGAGGCACAAAAATGTTACAGTACTGTTCTGTGCAATCCAACAAAGATGGTAGCTAATATCAGGTATTTAGATACTTCCCTTTAATATATATGGACAATATACAAAACTAACATTCTGCTTTCACAGATAACACTTAAACTTCAGGTTCTTCATATTTGTCTCTTAAGGATCAGTGGAGTCTGTTCATACTACTGAACCACAAAAAGAGAGTTTGAGTGCCAGTGCTACAAAACTTGGGGAGCCTATACAGCAAGCTATTCCTTTGCTACCACCATTCCAGCCTTTGGAAGCCAGACCTCATTATCCTGGATGGAGAGATTATCACAGCTCAGCCAGCTGGTCAGCAGCTTTGTCTAACAATCAAGGAATGAAAATTCCTACTGTAAGTAAAAACTTATCTTTTGATTTTTTTAAAAATTTTTAGTAATCAATACTGCTTTCATTTTAAAACCTTCTAGTATACTTGCAGAATGGGAGTAGTTGGTCTCTGAAGAACACTTCTGAATGTGTCATATTTTATCTTCAGTTCAAAGAATTTTGGATTGTGGATTAATTCTTCACTGAGTGTCCAGAAAAGTTAATTTGAGGGGTGTGTTTATATACATACACATCTCCATAATCAATGTAACAGCACAGGTTACAATACAGTAAACAAAATAATTATAATGTATTTTTATCTATAAAATCAGAATTGATTTCCATATGCAGACAAACCTACTGTAAGACCTTCCTGTCAACACTCCTGTGAATTTATGGAAAACATGTTGCTTTTTATTCCAGCTTGAAAAGTCACTTACACAAAAATCTGAAGATGTTTCTGGTAGTCTTCCTCTATCAAGGAAGATCCCTGGTGAGAGAGAATTTTGCTTCCTGGAGGGTAACTCTTAAGTGTCAAATATTGCATTTATTTTTATTAGCACTACAAGAAACATGGTTTTGAAACTACTAGTGCTTTTTTTTTAATTCAGCCACAAGTTCATATTTCTGTCTTTGTTTTATAGAAAAACAAAAATAAGTTACTTGTAAGCTGTTCACTGGAGAAAAATAACATGTCCCCAGTTCTAGTCCTTTCCTAAATAATCCAGTTGAGATGGACCTATACTACAGAAATCTCTTCTAAGCAGATAACTCCCATGGCTGAGCTTATTCTAAGCTGAGAAACATGGACCAAACCAGCCAGTTTCAACTCTAGGAAAAATCATCAACTGCTATTGTAGAAAAGGTTTAGAAGCTAGTTTTCAATACTTCTTTTCACTGTTGCCTGGGAAACACTGCTTGTGTTTCTAGTTTCCATAGCATTCCATGATGCTGAACATTCAAAACTTGAGAAATTGCCAAAATGAATGTCCCAACTGTGTAACCATAGTTGCTTTGTCATCCTGTTCTCTTTGAATAATTTGGATCCAAAAGCCATGGATCACATCTTTTTTTACTTGTTCCCCACATCAGTAGGCCCAGTGCAGTCTATACCATCAACTAACACTTACCTGTCATCTGCTTCTGCAGTGGGAGACAAGGTGGTATCAAATGAGGCTGAGGACAATGTGGCAAAGGTAGATGTTACATCTTTACCTTATTTGTGAAAGTTCAGACAATATTTTTGGATTTCTGCTTAATTCTCCTGATACCTTGTGGCACTTCTGGGCTTTTTTCAAACTTGCTTTTGGCTTGCTTGCTTGCTTCAATATACGTTCAGTGATGTTAGACTGTGACTATGTACAGTTTATAAGGTATGTCAGTTCTTTCTAGAGGTGTTTGCTCCAAGAAGTGTAAGTGGCAGTACTTATAGAGTTCTCATTTATCACAAGCAACCACTTACTAGTTATCTTGGCTTTAATCAAAGATGTATAAAACACAAGAGTACAGTTATGTCCTTTCTCTGAAGAGAAAGTATTCTAAAGTTTTCTGGGGTTGTTCAAACTCCAATAAAAGTCAGATTTTGCTCCGTTCCTAAAGATCACTGAACTGCCTCGCTATGTTCTTTAATTTATTTCCTTGCATTTTCCTTTGCTTTTCAAAAACTGAGCAATGCAAAACCCACAAACTGATCATCAGGTGCCATTCTGTGCTTGTAGAAACATGTCTGTATATGAAGTTTCTTGCTGTGGAAAACACTTTTTTTTGCCTTATGCAACCACAAGAGGTACTCACAGACTTCATTTGTTCCAATAGTTTCAACAGCCTTTACTTCTACATTGTCTGTTTAAAACATTGTCCCTGTTTAAAACTCATTTTTCATTGGTGTATATGAATACCAACCCTGAATTACTAGAGTTTGAACAGGTAAGTTACCAGGCAGTACTAAACCAGTGTAAATGGCACAAGGACACAAGTGTTTTCTTTTAGTTTGCTGTGAATTGCAGCTTAGTCTATACTCAGTGAGGTTCAGCTTACTTGCATTACTTGGCATTAGTCCCAGGCTAGTGAAGTAGTATGTAGGGATATTCATATAACTTAACCTAGACCTTGTTCTGCTGATTCAGTGGTTTAGCTGTAGATGATTCTTGGACTGATCTTCTGTATTTTTGCTAGTTTATTTCTTTAAACATCTAATTCTCTAAAGCACACTATCTTCAGTCAGGGACCTGGACATATAACTACTTTTGTGTGTGTATATATATCATAAGGTTTGAGATGGTTCTCCTATAAAAGCTGTTGTAGGATCTCTCTATTCACATCATCTATAGTATTTCTGAGCTTTACTGTGAAGAGCTTAATAAAATCTTAATTTACTCTTAATTATTTTCCTAGATTCCTCGGGTGTATGGGAGTTCTACATCTGCTTCCTCTTCACATCAAAAACTGTCACTATGTGCTGAAGAAGTAACACAAATTCCAAGACTTGAATTGAGGAATGTGCATAGAAAGAAAAGGCAAGTTCAGTTTTTTGGTACTGAGCCACGCTAACACTTTCATATACATGGCTACCCATGGCTGCTGCTGCCCCTCCCCTTTAAAATAAGATCTCTTCCTCCTTGGCTGCCTGACAGTGAAAGATGAATTTTAACACAAAGATTTCCTGTTTCTCCTGACATATGCATTTTCTTAAATACAGCTATAGGCACTTACACATTCAGATTCTAGTCAATCCTATAATAATGTGCTCATGCAAAAAGTGAACTGGAATTGTACAAGGTAATGCTTATCTTCAAGTTTTTAGAACAGAAATGAAATCTGTCTGTTTTCTGGGTTAGCAGATACGAAAATTCTACCACAGATTCACTCGAAGAGTCTCTTTCCCACAGAACAACAAAGGAAAAGCTATCTGAGCAAGAGCTTCATAAAGTGTCAGAAAAACTCTCTTGCAAGTTAAATGAACTAGATCTAGTAAGTGAAATCTATTCTTTGTTGCATCTGAGCAATCTAGCCTTAGTAATGATAGTGGAGAGAACAAGAGTATAAATTTAATATTGATGAAA